AAATAGCATTTTGTCAATTTCAACATCAGCAAAATGCTTCAAGGTCATATGTGAGGCAAAGTGGCAGATCCTGCTATCTATTTACTAAAATGTATTCCTCTTCTTCGGGAAACAGCCAGTCTACATTTCCCAGCCTCCTTAGCCATTAGGTATGGTGAAGCAAGGAAGCTCTAGCTAGTGCAAAGTGAGAACTAATGTGTTCCACTTCCAGGCTAGGCCCCAACTTCCCATGAGCACCCTTCCATGCTCTTTTCTCTTCCAGCTGACTGATATAGTGACACTCAGAATTACTTGGGAAAGGTGATGAGTTGCTGTCAGCCTGGGTCTCTGAATGACAGCATGGAGCAGAGCCCCTGTTGACAGTAACATTCTCCTTTGTCCCATGAGCAATATTCTTCTATTGTGCCTGAGTCATAATATTTTGGGGGTCATATTTGTTGTAGTTGTGAGCATTGCCCTAACATAAGCAGGCACTGTGACCCAGCCATTCTAACATAAAAGACATGTTGAAACAACCTAAAAAAACTTTCAGCTGAAAATTACCAAGTAATGTGCAGAACAGCTGTTTGCATTCATTCCTGAAGTATACCCTCCCTGTCAGTTTTCCTCACCCCTAGAGTGAGAATACTACCCATGCTGGCATGAGCACATGTACATCAGTCACTTAACTAGTGAACAACTGTAGCTGACTGCCCAGCTAGAAAATTCAGCATTCTGTAGAGTATGTATATACTCAGGTAACCACAATTTTTAAGTCTAGGTGATTTAATTTATGACATATAGATTACTTCTTTGTATCCAGCAAGGAAAAGTCATTGATTGATAGCCCACCTAAAGATCAAATTGTCCAAAACATGGTTTACATATATTTCCCATTAGACTGTGCTTATTCATCTTTGAGCTGCAAGAGTTAGCTTAGTATCTGACATATAGCAGGTGCTCAGTAAATGTTTCTCAGTATTATATAGGGAGAAATTCAAAGAACTGCAAAGCTCCACTGTTTCACTATTCCTTGTGATGGTCATAAGTACTTCTACTAGTAGTTCCCCCCTTAAAAATGAAAACACTTTTTATTCTGGACAGTCATAATTGTATACTATCCACCAGACAATAAAACCTTTATAGCCAAGGCACATTCAGCCTGAAGATGAAGTGATATATTAACTTCTTGATCAAATGCCAGAACTTACAGATGAATATGAAACAGACATCGGTAATTACAGCTTGTACTGTAGTTGTTGGTTTCTAAAGCTTTAAGCTCAACGGACAAGTAATAACTGGACAGACACACCCTTCAGAAATTAGAGGTGGAAAAAGATTACCTCATTCCGTACCTGTCACCCAGAAGGCCCCCTGCAGCAATTCAGCAAGAGGCAGCCCATGGGCCCAGGAGGAGGTGTGGGCTGGAGCTGCTAGGATGGTGGGAGCAGGCACCGGGGGAACATGGTAGAGAGCTACTTGGGAGCCAAGACTTTCCTTGGCCACTACCATTCCTTTCCCTTTCATTCCTTTGATTTCCGTGTTTAAGAAACCTGCTTTGGATATAAAATGACTTATATGTAAATTCAGTTTCTTTAAAATGTCATCTCGCTTGGAAAATTTGTATGCTTTTTCTACTTGAATCTAAAAACGAGTTACTATTACTAATAAAAAGATAATTATTCCTCAGCTAATTCTTGATTTTTACAAGCACATCAAAAAACACAGCCTGCTGCATGGCATTTAATAAACTGTCCCCCCAGACGCCTGTAGTTATATTCTAGGGATTAAGATCATGAGAGCCCGTGTGGCAGGAAGCTCCTATGACAGAACTGCTGCATGTGAAGGAATTCCAGCAACGCGAACACTTAGCTCCTGGATATACACACAAGTGAGTAGAAGGAGATACTGCTGAAGACCCAACACACTTCATCTTAACACTAGAGCAAAACAGTTTGACTTTAAGTTCCTCTTGGCAATCTTTGTCGGTCACATGCTGCTGTATCCTTTACTGAAGGCGAGAATCCCTTCCCAGGAAGTCTCTGTGCTGATTACAGCTACAACACTTAGAAATTGTATGTGGGTTTTTTTGTTTGTTTGCTTTTTGTTTTTTTTAAGGTGAGAAGTGTGGAGGAAGGATAAAATAATAATTACTAAAGAATGCAGTTCTGTTCATTTTATCAAAACTAGAGTGTCTCAACCTCAAATAAAAATGGACTTTACTGTCTCAGTATGCTACAAAGGTAAAAAACAAATACATATTGATAGAATACCTCTTGACAGCTCATTAAATTTGAAAATATAGAAAGATGTTCCAATTACCTCATAATAAAAATTACTTGAAGTGCATTGCCATGGGTTTATAATGCCTCAGACTTTTCAAAGTACTTTCAGATCCACTGCCATGTTAGAGAAGGCACTGATGCCACAAATACCAATCTACGTTTGGTTTTGGAAAAAGATTTCCATGTACATATTTTGTCCAAATATTACTATTTGTTTCATGAAAGTCAGAGCTAAGACTTTTAGTAGAGTGTAAATTTTAAGCCAATGAATAAACAGTTGGCTTGGAAAAATATTAAATTGACATGCAAAGCATTTGTTGCTCTGCCAGATACTAAAAATAAAAGCAACTTCTGCCAAAATGGAAAACTTGAATTCAGTTAGTTCTGAATTTGACTACTACATTTCACTAACTTTCTAAAATGGTATCTGACATATAACATTAGCTTGTTTCTCCAAATTTTATCTCTCAAAAAAATAATGCACAATTCACATTTTATTTAAACATCAACTTCGCATGTTTTTTTAATAGTAAGATATACATTTCTTAAAAAGTAATATATTTATCTAACAAATAAAGATTTGAACAGTTTGCAAATTATACCTTCATATTTTGGAAATTAAATTCAAACTTGTCTTTAATTAAAGTTATTAATAAGCCAAGCAAACAAAATATTTAAAATATAATATTTTAGACAAAAAACATAAAGAAAATAAGTAGATTTTAAATGTGAAGTTCTAAGCTGTTACTTAAAGTTCGGGATAACATTTTATTCTTGTCCCTGGCCTATCCCTCCCTTATCTGTCAGCCTAAAAAAATAAGTGTGTTTAAAATATGGAGTTTGAGATTTATGATCAGTTGCAGAAACCTGTTTAAGTAACTGATTTACAGTCTTGGCTGAAGTATTTAACTCTGTCATCAGAACTAATTATAGCAAACCTAAGATTATATATTCAAACTCTCCTTTTGGTGAAAGAAATAGAATGTTCTGCTGAAAATCAGAAATGTCCTGAGGGCTCCCAAACAAGAATGCACTGCCAACTTCACTTCTCAGAACCAGTGCTATAAAGCTCAAAATTACTATTCTTTAGTAAGTTGTTTTAGCCTGAAGTACTTACATAGTAAATCATAGTTACATTAATGCCATACCAATGGCCTGAAACATATTAATCTCAGTTAACAATAACTGACGTTTACATTACTAATCTAACTCAGGCATTCTGATGGTAGTAAATGCACATGTTGAAGCTTTAGGAACTAAAGTTATTAGTGATCCAAAAAGAAATCTTATTTTGCTGTAACTAGAACGGAGAGGGCAAATGACTACATCCTTTGGGCAACATGCATACTCTAGGAATAATGTTCCCATTTTATTGCTTTAAGGAGGAAAATGTCTAATTCCCACTGAAGCAGATCAAATAAAATTGATCTCAAATGATGTGCCAGCAGGACCGACCCAAGACAACCTGCTCCTTCCTCTCCCCTAAATCCTTCCCTCCCACCCCCTTTCCTCTGCTTTACCATCATGTTTTAGAGCTTTCCACAACCCATGTTCCCAAAAGAGTGAGGACTTAGGAAATGTGGCTTTCTGTACACCAAATGAGTCCCCTGCTACACTGGATTCTGCCACACTGCCTTTCACTCAGTTAAAATGCTCCCTTCTACATAAGAACCCTGAGTAGGTGAAGAGGGGGCAATCGCTGGCACTGGAGCGGGCTGAAGAAGGGATTCAGTGGCTGGACAGGCTCCTGATTCAGACTCTACAGAAGGCCACTCTGGCAAGGCCTCACTATAAACAGTGCAATGAGCTTGCAGGGGCCACTAAATACTTTAAGGAGTAAACACAGGGGGAAAAAACAAAAACAAAAAACAAAGCAGAGGCCAAAAGGAAATGCCCATCATGGGACCTCATGCACAAGAGTATCTACACCACCTACCTGCTCAAAAATAACATTTTTAATGTTTCAGACAAAAACACTGGGTTGTATAGTGGATATTTTCCCCATAATGGATTTTTAAAGGAAAGGTTCCTATACTGTAAGTTTGTATTTACCTACCAGCAGTTTGAAATGGATATTGTAGGTAATCTGTACGGGACAGTATCTATAAAATGGAATAATGTTCCCAATTTATTAAATCATAAAATATAAGATCTTCCAATATTTGGTCTGGATATCTTTTCATAATGTATTAATATAATACACAATCTCCTAAAACTTTGCTTTCTCTATGCTGGCTTTTCTCAACTAACTGGAAGCAAGAAATGATTTTTGGATGCTTAAATAGCTACTAAGTATTCACTTACTCCAGAATATAGAAAGAAAACATTAAAAGTACCACCATAAAATAATACAATTTTGTTACTATTTTAAGTCTAAAAATAACAGTAGTATAATTATAATCATGACTAATTTTATATGTTCCTGAATTTACATTACCAACCCAGTCTCTATCAGACAACTAGAACAGCCCTGATGAAGGCTGAAAGATGAGCCGATGAAAGCCACGGGAAGCAGTTCTTCACCTCTGCTGGGCACAAACAAAGAAGTCCCACAACCTCTGACTCTGGTCTTCCTACCAGATTGTCAGATGACTTTTCCAAGGCCCTTGCTGTTAAAACCACGAAGGGCACATCACAGGAAAACTTCTTCCCATGGTACCAATCTTCTCTTTATCCTCATTAATTTATTCAATCTTTTGAGGAGCAATAGGAAAGAGGAGTAAAAAACAAACCAACTTTTAGAAGATTAAAAGTTTTATTATCTTGAGTCATACCTGTCTGTATAATACAATTAGACCATTTTCTCTTCTAAGAACCATCTCATAATTTAAAGAATAACATGGCTGAGAAAGAAAGATATTTAGAAAGACATTTCTAGGCAAAGCTGAATTTAAATAATCCTTCAAATACTACTTTCTGACCCTTTCTTTATTGTAATATTTTATTACAAATATTATTGTAATATTTTAGCTGAAGGTATACAAAAATTAATCAATTGCTTTTACTATGTAATTCTGAAATATGAACTCTACTGCCTCCAATAAAAATCAATAAGTACTTTGATAACATTAAGGTCATTAAAATCACTTGCCAAGACAGAATCAATTGAAACATTTTTACACATATAAATTCACTGTAAACAATGATCAATCTTAAAAACACAATTCCAATAAAAATGCAGTTTCACCAGGTACAGTTAAGAAGTACGGAGCTCACTGGCTATACTATAACAAACATGAAAAGCAAAATTGATTTTACACTATAGGTCTATACAAATAAACAAACCTCTATCCTTTTTTGTATTAATTCTTACATACCTAACAGAATGCTTCATTTTGTTCAGTTCAATAAGTTAAACTCTTTAGAGAAAGACTGAAAAGAGTTGATGGTCAATCCCCAAATTTTAAGCTAATTTTTTCTAGTTCTATCAACTTCCTAACATACATAACAGAGCAGGCAAGTCTTTTCAGTAAATTAAGCACATGAATCCACAAATGTCTTGCAGAACTCTGGCAAGCTACATATATCCCATGTTACTTTTGGTTTCCCATCTCTTCTTTGCTTCAAATCTGAAATGAAAAATATAAAAATCTCAATTTATTCCTAAAAAAAAATACTTTGCCAAAGTAAAATGTTCACTAAGAGACCAAAATAAAACAAAAAATTTTTCGCATACTTCAGTGATTACAAAATAAATGTCATACAAGATGAAGCCTCCATATTTATAACCTGATAAGCACCCAACAAAGAAAAAATGAGTAACAATTACACACAACTGGATTCATAAAATATAGTCACAGGATTTTGGCAATTGTTACAAAGTCAGTAAAACTACTACTGAAAATGTTAAAGTAAGCTTACCCCCAAGCAAGTTTCTTCTTTTTTCGAGCAGCCTGTGAATTTTCAGCCTCCTTTTTGGCTTTTACAAAGTTGTGGCAGGCAATTGCTTTGGCAATTTTTACACCAAGCTAAGAATTACAAAGGGGAGGGAGGGAGTGAAAATAAATATTCCAGCTAATACAATAATTACATGATACAAATAACTGAGAACTTGTGGGTAAGAAAGCCATGTCTAGAAATTAGAAATTCTATGCTCAGGCCCCCTTGAACAAAATATAGTAAAAACACAGATATGGCCCATATTTCCCATCACTCCCGGCAGACCTTTTGCCCTAGTTATACTAGTCTCCTGGACGGAAATCCTTCCCAAACTGAAGCCCCTCGAGGGTCCACAAATGTAGTAATGAGGATCTTCAAGCTATTCAGCATTGCAGTAGGCTGAACAGGAATTTACCCCGATAAGGCTGCAGAGACTGACAGAGACATCAAGTTTCTTTGCTCTGGGCTAGAATTACAGCAACTCAGTATGGTCACACCAGTTATCTCACACTGATCAGAAGCTCTGATTGGCAGTCATGATGTGATTAATAAAACATGGGAAAGCTAATTACTACTTCATAAATGCACTTTGTATGATGAGCAACACTTTTGATTCACTGAGAGAAAAAATATAAGGGGTGCCAAGAGGTGAAAGGGATCACAGTGCCTACATGAACCCTTACACCCATCTGCCAGTCCTACAAAGTTCATTCAGAATGAAATTCCCCCATCTAGAAGTCTTCTAACTCAACCTAAAACAGTCCTCATTTCTGTATTTCTCCAGCCCTGTAGCTTCTATGCCACAGCCTTATAGTGATTCACTCTGCTCTACACAGTTCTCTGGCTACAAAGCTGTTTCCAAGCAAGTATCTCCAGGACAGGAATGGTGATATTTTCTAGTTTTTATTTTTTTAAATGCTGCCCAAGTGGATGGCTCAAGAGTATCCATTAAGAACCCAGGTTAAACAACAAAGCTAAAATTTCTTTCTGGTGTTTCTTGCCTTTTCCATTCCTGTACTTAACCTGATGCATATTAGTAGATAGGCAGACTTGTGGAAGACAAGAAATGACCTAGAAGTCACTCTAAAGTCAACATATTAAAGCCTAAGTTTTAGGTACCTGTTTGCCAATAGTAAGGCATGGCAGGAGGTAAAGAGCACATGTGTAAGGAGAGAAGACAATTTAGGAAAGCGAGGTCTGGCATACTTGACATGTCTTTCAGCTTATCTTAAAGAATAATTTCCTTTTGGGTGAATGAGACAAGTACAACTCAAGCACTGGCTGAAGTTTATAAATGAAAGCAAAAATAGATTTCATTTTTCAGTCCAGGAAATAATATATATAAGAATATAAGTAAATGAAAGGAAGCTGTCAATCAAACCAAGGTGCTGAATTGGTCAACATTAACAGGAAAGCCTTTGAAGAAAGAATGATTAATTGTAAAGCAGACCAACCTCAGCGTCTCCTCAAAACCCAAACCAGTATTACACCACTACTGTCATCTTTTTCATAATAATAACATTCATTCAACGAATTTTACGAAGGTACACATGCATAATTTTGCTAGATACCATTCTAGGAGCTGGAGATAAAGCACTGATCACAACACGGATTGTTTATAAATTAGGCTGGGGAGAAGGAGTATGTCAGTTACATCTGATTGCTTCAATACTGGCTTTGTTCTTTTAGTTCTCTTTTCATTTCCATTCTTTATCACAGAAGAGTTCACCTAAATCAACCAAAAAGCTAAGAATCAAAGGGCTGTAGCATCCTCATCCCAGGAGAAAGTAAAACACTTAAGGATGCTGTAGCATAATTTATCATTAAGATGGAATTCTCATCCATGGAAAAAGTGCCCATACATGTATAAAAAATCAAGTTAGTACCTGTCAACTAGTTAGGCAAGTCAACACTGCAGTATCAATACATCCCCAGATCTCACTGGCTTTTATTTCTTGTTTCACTTAAAATCCCTGTGGAGGGGAAGGGCTCTCCTCCATCTTGTAGTGGCAGCATTTCAACATGTGGCTTTCAAGTTCATTATGGAAAAACAAGAGCTGGAGGACCTCACATTGCTCTTTGATACTTTGGTTAAGAAATGGCACACATCATTTCTACTCACAGCCCACTAGTCAGAACCACTCACATGGCTCCACCTAAACACAAGGAGGCTGGGAAACTGGAGGTACAATGAGATACTAGGAGAGTAGTAAGTGTACACAACGAACTGTCCTCTACCATAAAACACTGCTGGCTATTTGTGTTTAAGAAGCACATATAGAGCTCTCCACATTCAAGTGAATTTAGTCTCTTTCCTGTCCACCATCCCCAAAAGGTAAAACATAAAACTACATTTTTTCACTAACTCCATTCTCGTGTATTACATATCAAATGCAAATATACTTTTGCCAAACCCACCCACCAAAAAAAGGCCCACTCAGCTAACTTATCTTATATTTAATACACCTCGAGTAAGAAACAAAAATGATCTGAACCATATTTGCCTTGTACCATTAACCATATAAGAAAATTATTTTTAATAAGACATAGCTTACATTTTTAAGTCATTCGTTGAAATTTCCCAATATGGGTGTTCTAGATTTAGTACAGCCAAACCAAAGAGCATCTCCATGTGTCCAGACATGCAATTGTTTGTCTTCGATGGGCTCGATGGGCTCTTTACCTCAACATGGTCATGTACTCTAAAAATGTAAAGCTTTAATGCTCCAGCAGTGCTAAGGCCAAATCTGCACAACCAGCATCACAGTAAAGATTTAGAGCATATGTTCCTTAACACAATATAAACTTATCAAAAATCATTTATTAGAATACATTCAGCAACCATTCACATAAGAGGACTCCATCATTTTGCAAACTAAATAGACATAATAAATGATTAGGTGCATAGGCAACAATTTTTCTAACTGTATTTTAACTTGGGTTAGATTACATGAAATGTTCTTCAACTGATAAACATTGGACAAACCTGGCCTATGTATTTTTTACAGAAAAACTCTTTTAGCTTATAATGATGATGAAAGTTATAGCCTTTCTTATGATTAAAATGAATGCATCTGATTAAAATGAATGTGTCTGATTTATTTCTGTAGAGGAAAAAAAGAATGAAATATCTGATAATATAAAAGGATAATAAGACTTTCTATGGAAGAAATGATTGAGAAGAAATGCAGTTTCCCAATCAAGATGACTAACCCGAGTTCTAGAACATAAAAGATTATCGTGCTGTTTTTCAGTATTACAAGTAAAATAGACTTACAAGAATCCCCCCTTCGCTTTTATAAAAAGAAAAATGCATCTTGGTGCCCAATGTAAACAACACAAAAGCTTGGTCAGTGGTTTTATATTATAAAACCTGTCTTGGGTCATCAGATAACTATAGCAACACAATATGGAAAGAAAATTTTTTTAACGAATAAAAATATACACAAAATTTCTTGTATGTGTAGTCAAAGTATCAGCATTTTCCATATAGAACATCCAATATTTTGCTGCATTTTAATTAAGGTGTCTAAACATTATCACAAAGAACTGCAAATTGGTCGGAGCATGCAGTAAGGAAAATTAAGCTCTAAAGGCTTTTTATCACCATATTTCAGGAACCAAGGGTGTAAAATGTTCTAATTTGGGATATATTAAAAGCCATAAAAGGTCTTTCAAAAAGATTAATGGTACTTTGCTTGGATTTAAGATAAGGGCTTTAGCTGGTTGGAAAAGCAGGGCCCTGGCTGGACCCTTGAGGCATTCATCTTTACAGCCACTTGGAAGATTTGTAAAAGCGTCTGCATAACCTCAAGCAAATGCACGGTGACATTTTTTTAATTCCTTTCAATTTTACAGGTTTAGCGTGTGTAAATCATATTGGGTTGTAAAATAGATATAATGGCACATCCTTGTAACACAGTACAGATTTTTAAAAGACAAACTTCAAAATAAAGTTAGTTTTTCTTCAAAATCTTGTCATTATAAAGTTTGCTGATAATCATTTGAAGCATCTGACTCAAACAGCTTAATCTAGCATAACTGTAAATTTCTCATCCATTTCATAAAATATTTTACTCATCTGAAAATTACTAGCTTGTAACTGATTTATAAAGTTTTCCTCCCTTTTGAACACTTTCAAGGCACTTATTTAAGAATACCAATTATCATACTTTAACTTTTTATGGAATAATAGGTCTCTATGAAAAATATTTATGCCATTCTCTTTTGTTCTTTAATTAAATGAAAACAGATGTTTTCTGAAGTAAAGCGGAACCATTACTGGAGTACTTAAAGTGTTAAGGTCTTTAATTTTTATATCAGTTTGGTCGACAATTCCTGATTGTCTTTACTCAAGCTCAACATTAATGTCAAGCAAGTTACCTAGGAGACGAAAGAGATCAAAGAGACAAAAACCCCTCCAATGTCTGATTAATCAAGCCTGCAAACAGCTTATTTCTTTTAGCCTGCATGCAAGTATGAAAATGAGATTCTGGGAGCCGAACATTGTGCAGATTTGTTCTTTCTTATCAGAACAAAGCCAGCGGCAGCTTATTTCATGGATCATTGGCACTGTCATCAGTGCTACACAGAACGGGTGACAGCTCCTCATTTTGAGGCTTGAACAAAATTAGCAAAAAGTCGGCACAAATTAGCCTCTCATCTTTTTAGTAATATGACATTATTCATTTACTTTTTATCCAATTTTTAATTTTTTCCTTGTCAGCTATCCCTTTCTAGTGTCTCTTGCATGGCATCATAAAATGCCTTCCAAAAAACAAGCAAAGAAATAGCCAAAGTTGAAATAACATGCAAAGTTCAAGAAGCAAATAAGAAAAAAGCACTTCTAAATGCGAATAATCCTGTGTTCTTTTTTATAACTTTCAAAACTTTGCACTAATATTGTTTTTTTAAAAAAAGCTCAGAATGTAATGCAGTTAAGGAGTTTTATGAAATTGGTGGTACATTTCAACAGACTGTAATGTGGCTAATGTGTTTCACTCAAACCACAATTTCATACGGTATGTACTAAACAAATTGAGGACATCTACATTTGGATTGTACCTTTCTCTCCATGGTCACACCTGAG